GAAAACATTTGTGAATCTTTTATTTGATAAGGGATTCACATCCAGAATATACAGAAAACTCCTCCACTTCAACAACAACAAAAACTTCATTCAAAAATGGGCAAAGGATAAATCAGGCATTTTTCCAAAGAAGACATAGAATTGGTCAATAAGCACATGAAATGATGTTCAACATCATTTTATCACTTTGGGTTTTTTTGTTTTTTTGTTTTTGTCTTTTTGAGACAGGGTCTCACTATGAAGTTCAGACTGGCCTTGAGCTCACTGTGTAGCCCAGGCTGTCCTCGAAACTTACAGCGATCCTCCTGCCTCAGCCTCCCTCCTGCCTCAGCCGTCCAAGTGCTGGGATTACAGGTGCGCACCACCACACACACGCACAGCCATTTTATCTTTTTTTTTCTTCCAGAACCAGGAATCAAACTCATGACCTTGTGCTTGCCAGGCAGGTGCTGTGCTGCTGAGCTAAATCCCCAGCCCCCATTTTATCATTTTGAATGTTCAAAATAAAACCACCCATACATATACACACACAGAGACACCAACACACGCGCGCGCGCGCACACACACACACACACACACACACACACACAGGGCAAGGCTTCGGAAAACCTGAAGTTGTGCTCTGGTATGGGGACTAAAATGGTGCAGTTACCAGGAAAAACTATGTGGTGAGTCCTCAAAATAATTTGAAAATCCAGGCTCCATGTGCTGGCATAGGCCTGCAATCCCAATACTCAGGAAGCTGAGGAAGGATCACTGTGAGTTGGAGCCTGAGCCACATAGTGAGTTCAAGGCCAGCCTCACCTACTTAGGGAAGCCCTGTCTATAAATAAATAAATGAACAATAACAATATATACATATGGGCAAGCACTGTGGTGCACACCTGTAATCCCAGCACCTGGGAGGCTGAGGCAGAAAGATCACCATGAGTTGGAGGCGAGCCAGGGCTCCATAACAGGCTCAAGGCCAGCCTGAACTGCACAGTGAGACCCTGTCTCAAAAAGCAAAACAAAACAAAAAACGATACATACATACACATATAAATGTGGTATATGCAGCCTTAAAAAAGAAAAAAAAGAAGCTGAGCATTTTGGTGCTCACCCATAACCCCAGCAAGCTGAGGCAGGAAGAGCTTAAGTTTGAGCCCAGACGGGGCAACTCAGTGAGCCCCTGTCTCAAATTTTTTAAAAATTTAAAAAAGAGTTAGGAAGCAGTTCAGTGAGAAAAAACTAGTTCAGTCCCCAGTACTGCAAAGCAAACAAACAGTCCACCACGTTGTGTCCTGGCTTTAGAAGGGTCTGAACATCTAATTCTCAGCTGTCTTCTCTGACGTATCTGACTCCACCTTAGTGTAAACTGTGTACTCAACACAATCCCAAAGCCCAATAAAAGGTAACACACAGCCACTGAGAACAGCTTTTCCATTATTTCCCTGGTGAAAAGAACCTTCACTTACTTGGTCAGTCTGTGGCTTTTCATTGCTGTGAGAAACTCTCTGACAATCTCAGGACTCTGATGTCTGCATGGAGTTTTTGATAAGTATTTTAATGTCTAAAAAAATAAAAAAGAAAAAGGAAAAGGCAAGCATTAGATGGACCTCAGTAAGAAAAAGGGAGGGCAATGACCAGAACTTAGTATTCTACATTTCTTTCTTTTTCCTTCTTTTTTGTCGGAGACAGGGTCTCACTATGCAGTTGAGGCTGGCCTTAAACTTACTTTTATAGCCCAGACTGGCCTTTAACTCTTGGCGATTCTCAATTTTCCTGCCTCAGCCTCTGAGTGCTGGGATTATAGGTGTGCACCACCATGCCTAGCATTCCACATTTTCTTTTAGGCACTCCATAAAACAAATGCCTTCAGGCAGCCAATCTTCATATACAGTAACAGAATTCCTAAGACAGAAAACCAGTCTCTACAACTGGAAGAACTAATGAGATTTTAGAAGAAAGCCCGAGGTTGTGAGTTCAGAAAAAAAAAAAAAAGAAAAGAAAAACTTGCTGATCTTGCCGGACGTGGTGGCACACGCCTGTAATCCCAGCACTCGGGAGGCTGAGGCAGGAGGATCACTGAGAGTTCGAGGCCAGCCTGGGCTACAAAGTGAGCTCAAGGCTGGCCTGAACTGCATAGCAAGACCCTGTCTCAAAAAGACAAAAAAACAACTTGCTGATCTTAAACAATAAAACAATATGAAATCATCACATCACAGACAATTTTTTTTAAAAGAGAAGAAATCCAAAGAATAAACAGCCACAGCCCACACAGACTGTATGGGAAAACCAAAGTCAAACGCAGCTCCTCCTACGCGCTCTCTCACCCCTGGAACTTGATCTTGTTCAGACCCCACCTGTGCAATCAGCCTTGGCCCCCACCCTGAGGGCTCGGGCCTCAGACTAGCCACCCTGAAGCCTACATCCCCTCTCAGCTTCGGGTAACTCAGAACCCAGGGAAAGCTCCCCTCACTGGGTCACTGTAGAGGCCAGTAAAAAGAAAAGGGTGCAAAAAACGGCACTGGTCTCAGGCTCCTCTGTAAGAACAGATACTAACAGACGACATAATAACTGTGTTAAACCAAACTCTTCGGACTCAAGGGTCTTGGAACAGAAAGGTTTACTGAGCGGTTACAGAGCCAGCCAAAAACAGGACACGGTCCTGGGACAAGTTCCTGCGACTCGCAGCAACAAAGCTGTCCACTGGATCAGAGCTAAGAGGACGGACTGACAGACGCACAGACTGACTGACAGGTGTACTGGTGATCAACCAGTACACTTAGCATGTGCTATACCACAGCTACACCACCAGTTCTAAGAGCTTTTTAAAAATGTTTTTAGTTTAAAAGAAGTTTTTAGTAACAAAAATTTGAGGAAAAAGATGTTTACACTGATCCAGTGCTGGCCACAGACAAGCAGCACGGGACTGAGGAAAGCAGGGCACGTCTGGTGAGAAAGGCAGCCTGTAGAAGTGACTGCCTGTCCTTCTGGATTGCTAGGATTGTGAACAGGGTATACAGATGCCCACAGGCCCGGATAAGATTTGAGTTAAAGGGCTTGGTTTGGTTTTTTTGGAGGGGATGTGAGACAGGACCTTGGTATGTAGTGCAGGCTGGACTTGAACTCACTATACTGTAGCCCATGCTGGCCTTGAACTCACAGTAATCCTCTTGCCTCAGCCTCTTGAGTGTTAGGGTTACAGGGGTGCGCCACCACGCCCAGCTGAGTTAAAGGTCTTAACTTACATTTAAGAATGTACTTGGCCCGCAGTTTGCTGAGTAATCCACCCATCTCTTCTTCCTTCTATCCTCCAAACCCAGTAATTAAATTTCGGACACCAAAATTTGTTTCTTACTACCTAGAATGCTCTGCAGAACAAAAGCTCAACCCAAGACCATCACATTCAGACAAGCTGTACATTCACACTAGGAACACTAGAAACAGGTATCTTGAGCAGGGCGTGGTGGCACACGCCT